CACACACACACACACACACACACACACACACACACACACACGTAAATGAAACAAAACAAAAACCAAACTCACAGCCATCCAGTCAATTCCCACTCAGGGCGGCCCTGTGGGCCAGGGTAGAACTGCTACTGTGGGTTTCTGAGACTGTAACTCTTTACTGGAATAGAAAGCCTTGTCTTTCTCCTGATGAGTGGCTAGAGGTTTTGAATTGCTGACCTTGAAATTAGCAGCCCAACATGTAACCACTATGTTACCAGGACTCCTTATGCTCAGACTTCAATTCTGCAGAAAGAAATCTGATCGATGCTGGGGTATCACATTCCCATGCTGTGGCAGTTACATAATCTCCTGTCAACTTGAATGATGGGGTGGCATCTAGGCTCTCATTTAGGTCACAGCCGATGAGGCCTCTGTGTGGGCATAGCCTTCTCCTAAGGATTTTCAGAACTCCTGTCTTCTTCCCCCAAGGCGGGATGCACTCTCTCTCTGCCTTCCCTTTCCTCCTGTGGAGACACTTAGAGAGCTGGAGGAGACACGGGGACCGCACAAGCATTGTGATGCTTCCACTGCCACTGGATCCACAAGACCTCCTACCCACTGGCCTGGGATCTTCCTGCATTCGGCATCATTTCATGTGTTGTGTGAGTCTGAGGAGGAATTTATAGATTGGTATCAGACATATGGGCTAATATGAAGCTCATGGACGTGATCTGGACTGGGCTGGGATGTTTTCTCAATGTATAATTGCTCTTTTTATATAAAGCTTTTTCTTATGAGTGTCTTTCATATGAGTGTCTATGAATTTGTTCCTCTAGTCCACCCGGACTAACACATGCCCGAATGACAAGACTCACCGGAAAGCCCCCGTGTAGCCGTAGTACATCTCCTTGCTGTTGGCAGCACACTGGTTTGGTTGTGGACCAGCACACAGAGCACAGAGCTTGGAATCGGTTTTAGACCCAGGAGCACAGCTTTGACTGAAAAATTCATCTGTGCAGAAAGGCAACCAGAAATTAGCTCTTCCTTCCTGAGCCAATACAAGCAACCTTCACGGAACATGTAACCTGGCTCAGGGGCCAGGAGAGGAAGAACGACCTCATTCTGTGATCTGCTGTAACTCTGTAAATCAGTTCAGGACTTGCCAGGCTCTGGGCATTAAAAGGAAACTTAATTGAGCCTGTGGGAAGGC